GGCCCCCTCATTGTGAGAGGGGCTGTGGGCCCGTGTACCCGGGCATGTAAATGCCCGGGTACCAATAGCATAATCCCACAGATTAACACTTACAAATTTTCATTTGTCCAGTGCAAAAAACACACAAAAAAGGCAACATACATGTGGCAGCACTTGTACGGTGTCTGTGTAACTTTACATGATCTGTTGTACGAAAGGTATTCAAAGTGGATGAAGTTTATTTTAAAGACTACTAATAAAACATTTATCTAGCGTCCATCGCGTGTACCTTTTATCGTCTATCTAGACGTTTTCTGTTGAGCTGGAATATCGCAAACACAATGTTAAAATGTTGGATACATGAGGTAAGCACAAGCTAAAGGTTTGGGATATAGACGTCAGATTTAGGAAAGATTTGGGACCTCCGGAGGAAATTTACATTTTCTTTTCATAAAGTAGTGGTACCATCATCCATATCGACTTTGGTACTTTTATTGTTATCGATAACTTAGCCTTAGTTTAGATAACTTATAAATGATTTATAAAGAGAACTCGTAAGAGAAATAGTAGTGGATCCCACGAAACGTGTTAATAATAATGAGTAGCAATTATAAATATTTGATTGAAATCAATAATCAACTTTGACTGATTTTATAAATCATATATATCCAAACGAAGGTTTATATTTTGTTTCTCATCCGAAGTAAAGTTGAACAAAAATGGGAATTTTTGGACTAAGAGCGTCTTTATTAAAGTTTGTAATTTGCAATTTTTTAACAATTATCAAAAATGTATGAATGATACTAGCTACGTAATTAAGAATTGAAATAAATAATAATAGATGGATTCGTAATCCAATACACTCATATCATATAAATACAAAACTCGAATTTTTACAAGCATTCGTAGATTCATTTAGAATAGTTATCAACCACAAATCTCTTTTGTTGACTCCCTTTGAATCTGATTGAAAATTAGTACACTTAAATTGAATGTATTCCCCGTGAGACGATACTCTCAATCCTTCAATTCTATTACTTGTCAACGATTTCGTACGCTTGCAGGTTTTGCACGAACAAGTTTTTGGCAAAGATAAAGCAGAGTAAATTGTTGCATCTTGGGATAAACAATTCATAGTTTCGTGATGGTTAAGAAAGTGCATCTTCTGTACCTTGCGAATGATATCCTGCAGAACAGCAAGTGTAACATAAATGAATTTGTTTTCGAATCTGGGAAGATTCTTCCTTCAGCACTCAAGGATGTTGTGAAGAATGGGGATGATCGTGGAAAGAAGGTTGTCTCAAGATTGCTAAGAAATTTTCGTCGTCCTTTCTTCTTTTATTATCAACAATCACTTCTTTCATAGATTGTTTATAAGAGTTTTTATATGACTTCAAATCCGGATTATTACATAATATTTTGCCCCAGGGGAGAATTATCAAGTTCAACTACTATAGGCGAGCACCATACCGGTTGGTTGGAGTGGCTTGACTAATATGATAATCTTATTACTAGGTCAATATTTGGGAAGAAAGGAAAGTTTTTGGATCCGTAAACAGAGCCTTAAAGTTGTAATGATTGGAGAAGAACTGTACCCACCATTGGAGTTTGGGAAGAAACGTTCTCATACTACCAGAATAAAGAGGGACTCTAGATCTATAAGAAGGTGAGGTTAACCATGCAGTGCATGTTTGTAGAAAACAAGGATTTTACTTTCCTTTTTTCCCCAGTACTGTCGTGTGCTAATCCTCCCTACCAAACATATCATTATTGCTTTATGTAGTGCTTACTTTGTAGATTTAATCCTGTAACATGTCTATCCCTTACCTCAACATTTTTGAATTCTTATTCTGCGTATGTTTGCTTTTGAAACCAGAAACTGACCATTGGAAGCACAAAAGAAAGAGTTGTGTCAGCTTTTAACTTGATGTTCAGCGAACATTCCGTTGAAAACGAAGAAATGAATAAGTACAAGTCTGCCATCCAACGAGTAAAAAAAAAAAAAGGAAAAGATGTCAACGTTACCTTAAGAAAAGGTAGACTGCATTTGATAAAAATTACCATCTATTTATAGGCTAGAACTGGTTCGTTGTTGAACCCTTATGTTAGGTTTGGTGAACAAAAATGACTAGATTTAATGTATTGGAAAAGTTAAGGAGTAAGTTGCAAATATTGTTAATTGAGTTGTATTAGGTCTAGGATTCGAAAATGGAAAGTAGGAAAAAACGGCGCCTCAATTTCGTTAGACCGTCGCCGTGACTTTGCTCGAGCGGCAGAAACATAAACACTGTCGCTTGCCTTCGCTCGAGCGACACACTGTCAGTCGCCTGTCGCCCAACTTTCGCTCGAGCAAAGTCATGTTCCCGAAAAATTTTAAATCGCATTTTTAAAGCTTTTTCTCGGTCCATTCAATCCTAAACCTAAAATATAAATACCAGCAAGCCTCTAAACGGTTTTTCTTAATGTTGATCATTGAGAAAATACTTACAACTTCATATTCTTTTCATCAAACAAGCTTTCAACCATCATGTTTTGATTTGTTATTGGCATTGCTGGCGTTGTTACACCCATTGACATTTTTCTTTGGACCAAGGATCAAGTAGCTTATTGCAACTGGAATAGTAAAGGGCTTCATGCTCTATCTATGGCTGCATTTGCAAAAGAGTTTAGGAGAGTGTGAAACTGCTAACAAGGTTTGGGATATCTTAGAGACACACACGAGGGTACCAAAACTGTTAAGAATTCCAAACTGCAAATGCTAACCTCTAAGTTTGATGAAATTAGAATGAAGGACGATGAATTCTATGCAAAGCTTAATGATATAGTAAACTCGAGTTTCAATCTAGGTGAGAAGATCCCTGAGTCTAAGATAGTTCGAAAAGTCCTTAGATCCCTACCTGAAAGGTTTAGACCTAAGATCACTGCTATTGAAGAAAGTAAGGACTTAGATGAAGTTAAGATAGAGGAACTCGTAGGATCTCTCCAAACCTACGAACTCACCATTTCTCAACAAAAAAAGGTTAAATCCATAGCCATGAATATCATTAGAGAAGAAGAGAGTAAGTCTACTGATATTGAGACCTTTAGGGACGATGAAATAGCTTATTTCGTGAAGAAATTCCAAAAGGCGATGAGGAATATGTGAAAACCTCACGATAGGAAAAATGATGTTTCCTAGCAAGTTCTCAAAAGATAAGCGTGAGAAGAATAACCCTAGGACTTCTAGTAAGAAAACCCAGTCAGTTAGATGCCACGAGTGTCAGAGTTTTAGTCACTATATAAATGAATGTCTTACTTTGAAGAAGAATTTAAATAAAGGAAGGGGTAAGGCATTAGCAGTGATTTTGAGTGATGATGAATTATATTTGAGTTTTCAGAGTGATACCTCTAGCGGTGAGGATGAATAAAATTTTATGGCTTTCACGTTTATAGCTAAGATTGAATCTGATAAGGAGAATGAAACGGTGTACAATGATGAACAAAGAAAGAATTCTGAAAATGACTCTGAGGATGAGATCGATATTCATGAATCTTATCAACAGTTGTTTGAGGAGAGTCTTAAAATCAAGAAGTTCAATAAAGATGTACTAAAAAAGGTTAATGAACTTGAGAGAGAGAGAGAGAGAGAGAGAGAGAGAGAGAGAGACTCTTAGGTGACCTTTAGGATTCTACCAAAAATTTGGGTGAGTTGAAACTCGTTAATGAGAATCTAGAAGCTAAACTTAAATCCTTAACAAGCGATCTAGAAAAATCTAATACTCAATTTCATTCCTTCATGAGTGATACTTAGAAACTCGATAATCTGTTAAGGATGAACAAGCCTGCTAGAAATAAGCACGGTCTAGGATACATTCAAAATGGTAATACTACTGTTAGTATTTCCAAGACCACGTTTGTCCCAGCCACCAACAAAATTACGAATACTTGTAATCCTAAACCCAAGGGCAAGAATGTTTTAGGATCCATACCCACTAGACAACGTAGGATCAATCATCTTATAAATCGACAACAACCTCTGAGTAGGTTTGAGTCTAGGTTCATTCCCACCTGTAACCATTGTAGTGTATTGG